ATGCAAAGAGTAAGAACACCAAGAAGCCAAGAGCTGGCTCCCCTGGCTCCACCTATTACTATAACACCACTTTAGGTCTATTGTATAACTCAAGTCTTAAACAATCTCTGTATACATCCCAAAAATCATTAGTTTGAAAGAACCTCTTTAGGAATACTTTATGGACAAACCCAATCATTTGAGCTAATGCCATACTTAAAAATATTGTAGGAATAATCACCAAAAATTATGTGCCACTGACTGCTCAGTATAACCAGTGTATGATTTAGAACAGCCTTTCTCAACCAGGGTGCCCAGGCACCCTGTGGTGCCTTGAGGATTCTTCAGGGGTGCCTTGGTAAAATGTCTAAAACTTGCCCAAAACATGAATACAAGCTAGAGGGTGCAGATCAGGACGTCACTGCCTGGGACCTGAAAGCTAGTGGAGATCACTAGAGTAGTGGTGCCTACTATACCAGCCTTTCTCAACCAGGGTGCCCAGCATACCTGGGGTGCCTTGAGGTTTCTTCAGGAGTGCCTTGGCAAAATGTCTAAAACTTGCCCAAAACTTGTATACAAGTCAGCGGGTGGAACAAGCCTGCCTTTTAGTTACACAAAGCCACAGGTTTTCATTGTGCACCATTATGACCTTCTAGCTGCCGGCATCCTGACAAACCAATGACATCATCAGTTGATAAGGAGGATGTCAGCTGCCTGCACAGCATTCTAGTTTGACCCTCCCCGGCCCCCTCTCCATCATCGCTGTGGTCACATTAGCTCAGTGATGGAGAAAAACGAAGGGAGAAGAGAAACACTGGAATACTAGTCAGTACCAGTGTGCAAAAGTGTATTTATTTGCTTTGGAAGAATAAATCACCTCTAATGTTGGGTGTCCTACATGTGTGGATGTTGCTGCGTTAAATAAAACTATTAGAATAGTTTTTCACATTTTTAAAATTATTATACAGTACAGTATTTATACAGTATTTATATAGCGCCAACAGTTCGCTCAGCGCTGTACATTACAATGGGAGACAACATACAAGACAGTACAATAACAATACAATGCGATACATGAGGGGTTCGAGGGCCCTGTTCCTTGGTGCTTACAATCTAGGAGGGAGGGGATAGTGGTACGGGAGGAATAGCTGTGGGGGATGGAGTAGTAGGAGGAGTGGAGATCGGCAATTAGCTGAGGGCGGGGTAGGCTTCCCTGAAGAGGTGGGTTTTCAGGGTGCGCCTAAAAGAGAGAAGAGTAGGTGATAGTCTGATCGATTGGGGTAGGGAGTTCCAGAGGATGGGGGAAGCCCTGGAGAATTCCTGGAGACGGGCATGGGAGGAGGAGACAAGGGAACTAGAGAGAGAGAAGGAGGTCTTGTGAGGAGCGGAGAGTACGTTTAGGGTGGTATTTGGATATCGGGGTCGGTGATGTAGTTTGGGGCAGTGTTATGGACAGCTTTGTACATCAGTGTTAGCATTTTGAATTTTATCCGTTGACAATCGGAAGCCAGTGGGGGGATTAGAAGAGGGGGGTGGCGGATACGGAGCAGTTAGTAAGGTGGATGAGTATTCAGGATAGACTGAAGCGGGGATAGCCTGTGGTGAGGTAGGCTGGTGAGGAGGGAGTTACAGTAGTCAAGTCGTGATATAAGGGAGTGAATGAGTTGCTTAGTAGTTTCTGGGGTTAGGAACGGATGTATTTTGAGATGTTGCGGAGGTGGAGTCTACATGAGTTTGTCAGCGATTGAACCTGGGGCTGAAAGAACAGATTGGAGTCTAGGATGACACCAAGTACTCTGGCTTACGTGGTGGGACTGATGGTGTCATTTTTGGTCGTGATGGAGAAGTCGAGGGGGGGGCGCGGACTGGGGAGAAAACTAGGAGCTCGGTTTTGGAAAGGTTCAGTTTGAGGAAGTGGAGTAACATCCAATCCGATATGTTGTTCAGTAGGCTAGTGATTCGGGTGGAGACTGATGGGGTGACGCGAGGGGTAGAGAGCTAGATTTGTGTGTCGTCGGCATAGAGATGGTAGTTGAAGCCGTGAGAGTGTATCAGTTGGCCAAGGGAGGAGGTGTAGATGGAGAAGAGAAGGGGCCCGAGGACAGAGCCTTTAGGGACCCCAACAGAGAGGGGGAGTGAGGAGGAGGTGGCAGCGTTATAGGTAACACTGAAGGAGCGCTGTGATAGATAGGAAGAGAGCCAGGAGAGGGCGGAGTCTCTGAGGCAAAGAGTTTTTTGAGGAGGAGGAGGGGGTGGTCAACGGTGTCGAAAGCCATGGAGAGAGCGAGGAGTAGGAGCACTGAATAGTGGCCATTAGCTTTGGCGGTTAGCAGGTTGTTGGTGGGTTTGAGTAGGGCAGTTTCGGTGGAGTGTATGGGACGGAAGCCAGATTGTAGGGGATCAAGGAGGTTGTTGCCGTTGATGTGAGAGCTTAGGCAATTATAGACTAAGCGCTCAAGGAGTTTGGATGTAAATGGCAGCAGGGAGCCTGGGGGGCCCTTTTAAAATTATGGACAGTCTTGAGGCACCCCATTTTAGAATGGGGTGCCTCAAGACTGTTCATAATTTTAAAGGGTGCCTCGGGACTGTCTATAATTTTAAAGGGTGCCTTGACTTAAAAAAGGTTGAGAAACACTGATCTAGAAGACACCCCATGGGTTAGACAGTTTAATCCAGGAAAACCTGGGAAATTGCTTAGAACACATTCCTGTTTCCAAGCATGACAGCTATATTACATTTTTCTACTACACACAGAAAAGTGTGTAAATATATATAAATTCAAATCCAGTATATAAATAAAATAATTAATAAAATTAATTACCTATCCCATTTAGGTATAAGAAAGTAGCTTCTTGCAATATTCACCCAATCTCTAGTGCTTTCCTTCTTTCCCCCTAGACTTACCTCTCTGCAATCCAGCACCTGTCTTCTTCTGCAATGAATGACTCCCAGCATCCTTCAGTATCTTGTAAGCCCATGGCATTTAGGATTCACCCCCTGGAGTATATCATCAAGCTATCCTGGGCTTACAAGAGATCAGTGCAGGGAACTGCATCAAGTAGTGTTTCTTGCAGCACTAGGGACCCACCCATCACTGGAAGAAGAAGACCCTTGACATTCAGGCTAAAATATCCATGGAAAAAAAAAGTATGCATACAATGAATGTAAAAGAATAAATAAAAGCAAAAAGGGGGAAAGGAGTGGAACAGAATACGTAGAGGATGCAACCTGGAATTTGCTTCAAACAGTCAAAACAACCTTGTTGCCATACTCAAATTCTCCAAGAAACCGTTACCTTAAAAGAAGAGTGAAAACACCTCTCCTGACTCCCGCACCACTAAATGCTGTTCTGTTGCTATGAAAACTTCCCCCAAAGTCTGTTGGGAACCCAACTTTTCCACATGGCCTCTGCTACGCTCAGTTGTTCCTCCTGGGTACTTCTACATCATTAGATGACTTGTTTTTTAAGTGTAACCTAATCTTATAAGTAAAGTGACAATGTTCATGAAAATTATTACTATATTATTTCCTTTAATCACCTATAGATCATATGCATATGAGAGTTTCTGTTGTGGAACAGGGAAGCTCCTAGCTCTATAATCACTGCATCCTTTTCTTTGGTATCTGTTACATAAAGATGTATCTTGTAATAATTATATATACCTAAAATACATTTTTATGTTTCAATTAATCAAAGTGTAAATATGTGTATACTCACATTTCCTAGAACCATTATTTCAACATAGGTTTTGAAATGAGATTAGAAAAACAGACTAATATGACATATGACTTTGAAAAAATGTGAGTGAGTTATGCAAAAAAAAAAAGAAAATGAAAGAAAAGAAATAAAAAGAAAAAAAAGAGGAAAGAAAATGTGTTTCTCCCAAAGGATTGCTTGTAATCTCTGTTTTATACATCAGCCTGAGCACATCCTGAAAGATATGAAACAGTAATTGGCTCTTTTCAAACATTTCTATGCAGAAGCAGTAGCACTGACCAGCAAATAAATCATCTTATAGTACAATAAAAGACAGCAGTGAGTGTGCATTTTTTAACCATTTTCTTAAAGGGAAAGGCGGTACATACCAAATCAGCCCTCAAAAATGAAATGTGATTTATATAAAAAATGTTCTTTATCTTCAACTTTTGAAAGTGGAAATGAATAATGGCACTGGCTTTTTCTGTGTGAGTAATGAGCTTCAATATCCTGCACTCAGCTCTGGAAAAATATTTTTTATCCTATTTATCTAATTGTCATGCTCTCTTCTGACATGCATAGTGGAGAACACAAGACTTCAACATGCCAAGAGGAAGGAGGATGAGGTCAGAGATGGAAAGAACATTGCTCAGGATGACAAAGAGAAACTTTCTCTCCACCATAAACATAATAGGATGTATCTACAATATTTCTGTACAGGCTGCAGTCTTTGTATATATAGTGAATATCCAGCTTAAACATTTAGATTTTGGATAGAATTAGGAAGGGATAGAACCTTTGACAGTTTTTACTGCTCCCTTTAGCCCCATAGATAATTTTTTTTTCGATTTCCTATCCTGGTGGCAATATGGATACACAAGGCTGTAACCCTCATTGGCTTTTTGTTACTGTCTGTGTCCCTGTTGGAGAATATCCCTTACTTCCATTCCATGGGGACAACACTGTGCCTGGGACAGGTAGTATGGGGAAAATTTCCCAGTGAGGTCTCAGACAGCTGTAGAATCTATAGAATTTTAACCACAAGCCTACAGGGCATTTATACCCCCTTCCCACCCAGGCTAATTTCCAGCTTTCAGCGCTGTTGCATTTTGAATGACAATTGCGCGGTCATGCAACACTGTACCCATATGACATTTTTATCATTTTTTTTATGACAGATAGAGATTTATTTTTGTGGTATTAATCACCTCTGGGTTTTTTATTTTTTCTTAAACAAACCAAAAACCACTGAAAATTTTGAAAAAAAAAGTTTATTCTTAGTTTTTGTTATAAAATTTTGTAAATAAGTGATTTTTCTCCACTGATGTGCGCTAATGAGGCTGCAGTGATGGGCACTGATAGGCTGCATCAGTGCTGATGGACACTGATGAGGAGGCACTGGTAGGTGGCACTGATGGGCATTGACAGGCATCACTGATGGGCACTGAAAGGCAGCACTGATATATGGCACTGATAGGCGGCACTGTTAGGCGGAACTGACTGGCACTGTTAGGCGGCACTGACTGGCACTGATGGGCACTGATAGGCGGCACTGACTGGCACTGATAGGCGGCACTGACTGGCACTGATAGGTGGCACTGATTGACATCACTGATAGGTGGCACTGATTGGCATTGATAGGTGTGGCACTGACTGGCACTGATGAGTGACACTGAAAAGGCAGCTCAGATGGGCACTGATATGTGGTATTGATATGCACTGGAAGGCACTGATATGTGGCATTGATGTGGCACTGATGGGTACTTCACGTGGCACTGATGAGCACTGATGGACACTGACAGGTGGCACTACTGGGGCAACACTGATCATCAGGGCACACTGTTCATCAGTGCTCTGATGATCAGTGTACATGTCCCCTCCGCGGAATGCCGATTACCGGCTCTCCTCTCCTCTCAAGCTGTCAACATGACAGCTCGAGAGGAGAGAAATGCCGATAACCGGCAATTCCATGTTTACATGTGATCAGCTGTGATTGGACACAGCTGATCACATGACCGAGCCGACATCTTCAGCTCTTTCCGTGGATTGGTGATACGCTGTGTCCGAGTCATATGACGTCCTCCCAGAACGAGAGAACCACTTTGCATCTGTCATATTACTATATGGCGGGCGGGAGGTGGTTAAAGCATCTAACATCGAGAACTGAGTGATCACATGACTTCTGAATGCCCAGTTCTTGGTGTGCTTGGAGTGGAGAACATTAACTGTCAGTCACCACTCTCCCCTGTGCTCCTCCAGTGCTAGGCTGGAGAGGAGGGCAGGCTCAGCTGGCTCTGCCTCGTAGCTTTGTGCTGAGAGCTGGAGCCAGCTGTCAATCAGGCAGCTGGGTGGATCCCAACAATAATGTCAGGATCAGGGGCAGACTGACAATTCATGGGGCCCCCGGGCAATAGGGGATCATGGGGCCCCTGTGTCCTTGCCCAAACTCAAAGAAGCCTATGAAAAAGGTACCAGGGGTATCTCATGGGGCCCCCTACTGACCCCTGGCCCTTGGACAGTGCCCGAGTTTCCAAATGGTCAGTCCGCCCCTGGTCAGGATCCTTCTAGAGCCTGGAGCGGCTCTGCTAATAGTTAACAATTGGACACCAACTGACTCTGGATCACTGGAGAGCAAAAGTCAGTGCACTCCTACGAACCACAAGAGAAATATGGTTCAACAAAGGTTTACCCATACTTCTCTTTTAAAACATAACTAAAGGCAAAACTTTTTTTTTAGTTTTGAATGGAATGGAGAGGGATTTAGGATACCTTCCAGTTTTTATTGCTGTTTGCACCACTGTTAGGGAGACTCACCCTCTCTATTTGTCCTGTTTACCCTTCTCATTAAAAGTAAAAGAAAATCCCAAATTTTGGGTTGTCCCCAGAAAAGTAATAGAGGGACAATGTTCCAATGAGGACACTAGTTCTGGTGACCTGGGGGTTCCCAATAAATTCCTTTAATTTGCATGGATCTCGTCTCACTTCCTGTTTGGCTATGGGACACGAAGTGAAGGGAAATCTCGGTAATGGGACACAGATGGTGAAAAAAAAAATCTGTCAGGGGTTATAATCTTCCCTTGCTCTATCCAAAATGAAATAAAAGTTCTACCCATAGTTCTACTTTAATTCCCTACTCTAAAGCTAAAAAAGTATTTGCCTTTAGTGTTACTTTAAATAAGGAAGACCAATGTGACAAGTACAGAAGAAATCATTAAGAACTCACAAGCACCGAACACAAAGTGGCTGGGTAGTAGCTCAGACAATGTCACTGAATACACTTTGAACTTCTTTCTTTATATAAAACCTGTACTGAGAGAAATACAGAACCTGCCATAGCTGACCTTCTAGGTATACTATCTGCCAGCCTGTCTCTGTCTCTAGTACTTTCTGAGTCACCGACAAGGTTAACACTTTGAAGTCAGAACTCCTACACACTTTATCGAGGTTACTTATTCAGAAAGCATGAAAGCATGATTAGCATGACATTTTCAAAAACGTTTGACAATGCAGCCTCCATATACTCTCTGTACAGGTTTCCTTTACAAGACAACATAAGTGCACGTAGATGGATCTAGATCAGTGGTTCTTAACCTTGTTGGAGGTACTGACCCCCACCAGTTTCATATGCGCATTCACCGAACCCTTCTTAATTGGAAAAATAAAATATGATTTTTCAAATTCAAAACATAGGTATATATTTAGGTATATATTTATACATAGGTGCACAAAATGAACAAAACCATTCAGAACAAAGAACAAAACCATTAAAACATGATTTTCACACAAAAACAAAAACATAATAATGAATATTTACTGCACGAATCATATGAGTCGGGTGTGGGTCTTCACCTCCGCCGAACCCGCGAGACTGACTCACCGAACCCCTGGGGTTCGATCGAACCCAGGTTAAGAACCACTGATCTAGATGAATATGGTGCCCATAATGATTGTGCGAGAAGCTGCTTTTGTTGTAGTGTAGCCCAATAAAAACTGGCATATGTTCAAATAAATACATGGTTACATAATAGACTACTACCAGATATATTATTGTTGTTCAGGTTTTGTAAAGGGGTATTATAGCCAGTAAGTATGTGTGTAGGTGCTAAACAATGTAATTTATTACAGATCTGTAGTCACAACACAGTTTTAAAGTGTTACTAAACCCAAGACCTGGCATTCACACTATATCTGGTCTCCTACAGTACACAGAACATGGAAATGCAATTATTTTAGTAAATTTAAACTGCTAAATACCTTTTTCTCATCAGCAGTATATAAAGCAGTCTTATGACTTATATCAGTGTCCAGCAGAGCACTGGTTACAGCTTGTAGGAGGAGTTTTCATTCTCCTGTAGGAGGGTGAAGGACCCCTGACCTCTGCCTGGACAGTGCTGATTGGCCCTGTGCTGATCGCATGCACTCTCCCAAGCAAAAAAAAAAAAACTCTTTAGCAATGCAAACTAAACTGAGCGTATTCAGCTTGCCTTGAGCCTCTGTTCTATCAGGAGATATTTAGGAGACACTTGAAGAAGGGGAGGATCAGAAAAGACAGTGTCAAACATCCTTTTTACATTAAAACCTACTTTATGGACAATTTAGGCTCTATCTCTTCGGCAGTGCCCCTGTAGGAGGGACATAAAGCCAGGGTGCGGTGCCACATTATACAGTTGGCTGCGGTTCGGAAACGGGAAAGGGAGCGTCGTCGCCTTTCCAACCTCCACTCTCTCCTAGCCACTGCTGATGCTCGCTGGAAGATGCACCCGTCCGCTGCCCACAGATGGACACAAGATGCTCTGGCTGCGGAACTGTATTTGCTTGCTTCCTTGGAGGCTGAACGGGCCTTGCGTTGGACCAAACATAAATTATACGCCCTGTCCTGATGTGCTCAGGGCCCATATCTCGATGATTCCTAAGACAGTGGAAGCCATGCTATAACCGCAGGCCTTTCAGCCTATCTCTCTTCTTAATGAGGACCTGGAAATTATGGGCAAGATTCTCAGTCTTCGTATCAACAAATATCTGCGTAGTCTGGTCCATAGAGACCAGGTGGGATTTGTCCCTGGGAGGCAGGCAGGCGATAATGTTCGTAAAGTGATCCATCTTATACATCTCCTACACCAGTGGAAAATCCCAGGATTCTTGTTGTCTCTAGACATCTACTGTACAAGGCTTTTGATTCCTTGTCCTGGGAATACCTGCGGTTGACGCTGTCCTGTTGGGGCTTTGGGGATTCAGTCCTTTCCTGGATTCAAGCTTTATACTTTTCCCCTTCGGCTTCGGCCAAGTATGCAGGGTACTTCTTCTCAGGTCCCTTTCCTGTTTGGAGGGGGAAAACACAAGGATGCCCCTTGTCCCCGGTGCTCTTTGTCCTAGTGCTTGAGCGGCTGGCCATGGCGCCCCATGCAGATTGTAATATATTGGGTGTCCCCTACGCGCACCATGAATTTAAGCTCCTTCTTTTTGCAGATGATGCCCTATTGACCTTTACTAACCCACTGACTTATCAGGCGAGCCATATTGCCCCACTGTCCTTTCTGCATGCTTCCTCTGATGTTCCTCTCTGGTTCTTTTGCAACTGCCCAATTGTGCCCCCGTCATCACATTGACGCTTCTATGGCTTCCCTCTAATCTGAGATCGACAGCGTTCAGTCCAATTATGCTTCATAGTTTAAAAGTGTAGGATTCGGTACGTACGTTACGTTACTCGGGGCGGTCTGATGTCACCCTTTTTGCCTCTGCTCCAGATTATTAACCAGCTGCCGACCGCAGATAGCCGAATGACGGCTGCACTGCGGCCGGCCAGTTCAGGGTGGACGTCATATGACGTCCTCCCAGAACGCGATCTCCTGCGCGCCCCAGGGGGCGCGCACCCGGCGATCTTTGTGATCGCTGTGTACTACGGACACAGCTGATCACGTGATGTGGTAAAAGGCCAATCACAGCGGCCTTTTACCACGTGATCAGCGGTGTCCAATGACACGCTGATCACAGGGAAATGCAAGTGCCGGTTCTCGGCTGCACTTTCCTCACGCTGTCAGATCGTGAGGAAAGTACTGCCGAGAACCGGCAGTTGTCAGAGCGGGGATCGGCACCGATCATCAGGGCACTGATGATCAGTGCCCTGATGATCGGTGCCCAGCAGTGCCACCCGCAAGTTCCGCCCAGCAGTGCGCCCACTAGCTCCGCCCACCCGTGCCCAGCAGTGCACCCACCTGTGCCCAGCAGTGCACCCACCGGTGCCACTCTGCAGTGCCACCTACCTGTGCCCAGAAGTGCCACCTACATGTGCCCAGCAGTGCCACCCACCTGTGCCCACCCACCTGTGCCCACCAGTGCCACCCACCTGTGCCCACCCACCAGTGCTGCCCACCAGTGCAGCCCAGCAGTGCTGCCAGTCAGTGCCACCAGTCAGTGCCCAGGGGTTGTGCCAGTCAGTGCCGCCAGTCAGTGCCCAGCAGTGATGCCAGTCAGTGCCGTCTATCAGTACCCATAATCAGTGTCACCTATCAGTGCCGCCTATCAGTGCTGCATATTAGTGCCGCCTATCCGTGACCCCTAATTAGTGCTGTCTATCAGTGCCGCCTATCCGTGCCACCTCATTAGTACTGCCTATCAGTGCCCTTTAGTGCTGCCTATCAGTGCCCATCAGTGCCGCCTATCAGTGCCCATCAGTGCTGCCTCATCAACGCACATCAGTGGAGAAAAAATACCTGTTTGAAAAATGTTATAAAAGAAACAAACTTTTTTTTTTTCAAATTTTTTGCAATTTTTTTATTTATAGCGCAAAAAGTAAAGCGCCCAGTGGCGATTAAATACCACCAAAAGAAAGCTCTATTTGTGAGAAAAAAAATGATCAAAATTTCATATGGGTATAATGTTGCATGACCGCGCAATTGTCAATCAAAGTGCGGCAGCGCTGAAAGCTGAAAATTGGCCTGGTAAAGAAGGGGGTATAAGTGCCTGGTAGGCAAGTGGTTAATAATCATCTCTTTCCACCAGGTCTTGATCAACGTTCTCTTGGTGGGTGGCCAATGTTTTTTTTTCACATGTTCAACATTTTTTTGACATCTAGGTCCTTCCCCACCTGGAACTCCCTTCGGGAATCTTGAGATGTCCCTCAGATGGAGTTCTTCCGTTATCTCCAACTGTGACATTGGCTGACCTCCCTGCACGGAACTTCCGCCTTTCCATTTCAGAAGTCTTTTTTGAGTAGATTTGTCAACAGCGCCCCTGTTCTCCGGGTCTTATCTCCAATCCTTAATGCATCCCTGAATAGGCGTCCGGCTCATCCATCTCTTTCGTATGTTGTTCAATGGGAGCGGGACCTGGCGACGGTTGTGGATTTGGAGGACTGGAATAGGACCTGTTTTTTTGTAGCTAAATGCTCATTTAATATGGCCACGTTGGAGGCAGCATACAAGGTGCTGTTTTGTTGGTACTGGGTCCCGGCCCATATTGCCTGGGTGACCGCTGTTTTCAGGGTTGTGGTAATCTTGGGGATGTGTTACATGCCAAAAATGAATTTGTTATTGGTCTTGTGTATTTGGCCTTCTCTATACC